AGTGTTTCTAGAACAGAAACTGAAGAAAATATGCATAGACTAAAATGAAAACACAAAACAAGGAAAGCAGATTGGATGTAAAAAATCTATGAAAGGAGGCCTACTTCAAGAAATTACGATAAAAATTTTAAAATATATGGCTAAAAAAATACAAGCGTAGTAGAAGTGTCAGTTTGGCTTTTGACTTTTCCTTTACAATACATGATACTAACTTGAAACAATGAAGCTTGCCCTACAACAGTTTGAGGGGAAAAAGGTTGTAAATCAATATATTAAACCCAGCTAAGTATCATTCCTATGTCATAATAACAGAATGTCATTCTGAGATATGGCAGTTTATGTAAATTATATCCTCAATGAATACTTAATAAATTACTTAAAGATATATTTTTATAAATGAGGAAAAATTCAGAATTTGAAAATTAGGAAATTGTGATGTAAAAGGACAAAGAGTTGAAACTGATTAAGCATAAAGTGTAACTATTTATTGAATACATTACTATAAACCTAAGTGAAAACATAATTTTTTAAAATCTAACAATTAAAATTTAATAGCAATCTTGTCTTAGAACTCAAGATTATAACAAAAACTTATATGGAGCTTCAAATGGTACTGTTTTGTCTTAATTCTGAAAATTATGTAAATAGTTAGAAACTACTCTTAGAAAATGGAAGATAACTCGTAGTAAAAAAAGAATAAAAATAAGAGAAACATAAAGCATAAAATGAAATGACAGCAATTAGATCTTGAGGATTTAAAACAGTAAATTTAAATTGGCCACATTTTCTTATTAAAAGATGCAGACTCCAAGACTACAGTTTCAAAATGTACAATAAAACAAAGTGCTGCAATTAAGTTTACACTAAAAGCAGGTACACATTTATACACCAATTGTTTATCAAACAACTACAAACAAAAGTAACAGAGTAGTAACATCAGACAAAATACACTTAAAGTTAAAAAAAATCTTTAAGTAATGATATTTTATGCGCTTACAACATAACATCAAAATAAAGAACAAAAGCTGTTAGAAACAAAACATAAAAATGAGATAATTTTACTACATGGATCTCAAGTTTACTAGGTCAAATGGTGAAAAATGAACAAGAATAGAAGGAATAAAACACACACCACTTTAATCACAAATATCTATACTAATCAAGAATAAAAGTATCACTTTCAAAAAATCAAAAAGCATAAAGACCAGATTAACTGACCACAATATAATAAAACATCCTATTAATTAAAAAGTTGCAAGTTAAAAACTGTTTCCTCCATTATTCAAGTCAAAGAGAAAACAAAATCTAAAAGTAAAAAGTGTAGACTATTTATAAAATAACAACAAAATGAAAGCACACTGAAACTAAAATACGTGGCCAAAGGCACCACAAAAACTTGTTGCTGTCGAGTCAATTCCAACTCATAGCGACCCTACAGGACAGCGTAGAACAGCCCCACAGGGTTTCCTAGGTCGGCTATAATCTTTATGGAAACAGACTGTCACATCTCTCTCCCACGGAGAAGCTAGTGGGTTTGAACTGCCAATCTTTCAGTTAGTGGCTAAGTGCTTTAATCACGGCATCACCAGGGCTCCTTGGCCAAAGGCACAACCAGAAACAAATTCATAACCTTAATTGCTTTAATACTTAAATAATAAAGTATGATAATATATTAAACATTTATCACTAGAATAAGAACAATCAAACATTCCTAAGGAAAATAATATGATAGAATCAATAAAAAAATAAAGGCAGAAATGACTGAATTAGGTAAGGGAAAACTTCCAGTTTAGTACAACATAACAAAAAAGAGCCACTTCCTGCCTCTCTTTAATTCAGTTTTGGAGATGCTGAAAGAGAAACAAGGAACAGTGGTGGGCTTCAGGGTCTTGTTCATCAATTAACAAAAAAGCTGGTGAGAAATTCTTAGAGATGTAACATAGCTGTTTTCAGATATGTTTGAAAAATGGGATCTGAAGCAGGAGAATGTCATCAACCAGGAATGGGGGACAGTAATCTAATTAATCTTTAATCTTTCCCATGCAACCTGAGTAAGCCTACATCTGGGGTTAAATCAGGGACAGCCTATTCCACTACTCTGTAAAGAGGAAATCATAAGAGAAATTACATCTAAATGATAATGGCATTCTACATGTAAAAAAGTATGGCATATAGCTAATGCAATATTCAGAAAAAAGATTTAATACACTTATCAGACTGCAAGAGTTATAAAAAATAAATATACTAAGCCCGATTGATTAATACCAGGAAAAAAGGGAAAATAAAGATATTTGTAGAAAACAATAAAATAAGTATTGTTTTGAACTGAAAAGGAAACAATTAGGGATCTAAAAGCTAATATGACAGAAAAAATTCTAGAAAAAAAACAACTAAGAAAAAAGTGAAAATATCCAAACAAAGGAAAGAATACAAAGAGATAACTAATTACACACGTAAGATTTCAACAGTTTAAAAATTATATTATAAAATATGAGCTAATAACATTGAAAAGATAAATGAAATACATGAATTTTTTGGTGAAATACAAAATATCGAAATTGGCCCATGAAGAAACTGAAAACTTGAAGAGTAATAAATATTATAAAAGGTATTTAAAATCTCCCTCCACAAAGGCACCAGATAGTTTTATAGCAGACTAATAATAAACTTGAGGTAACAGAAAATTTCTAGCTTATAGTCATTAGATTTCTCTTATACAAGTAATATCTGAAAGTTGAAAAGTAGGGAAAACTTCCTAACTTATATTGAAGCTAAGATAAACTACGTAGCAGCTTTTGATTAATCCATTCTAGTCAGACTTTCTGTTACTTACAGCTGAACACTTATCTAATAGAGGGTATTATAAAATTTTGGAGAGGGTCAGAAAGAGAATTGAATTAAACACATACATTCCATAAACTTGGATTAAAAAGCCAATGTGACAAAAATGCAAATTTTCTAAAAACTAATTTACTAGTTTAATGTAAATACAATCAAAATTGCAAAGAAGATTTTTCAAGGGAATCAATAAAGTGATGCAAACATTTTCTTGAATAATAAGTTACAAAGTAAAGGAATTTTTGAAGAGAAGAGTTGGATGGATCTGATTTATTCTACCAATGTTAGTATGTATTTTAACAGTACACACGTTAAGAAAAATAAGAAGATAGAATATGAAGGCCAAAAGCAGTCCATAGTATAATAGCACAAATTCTGTAGCTAGTAATGCTGGCTCTTCCAACCAGAGGGAAATAGGCCAATCAGCATTTAGTAAAAGTGCTTGTCAACTATTCAGAAAAATTAAATTAGGTATTTGTGTTTCATTGTGCAAACTACAGTACATGTTTGATACCATTCACTGAGCAAACGTTTAACTACTACCTATATGCCAGGAACTGTGCAAGAACTAAGGATACAACAGTGAGCAAAAACACAGGAGCTTAGAGTCTTGTAGGAAGATAATCTGTAGGAATGATTGAAGTAATGTTGGTCTAATGTGCTTTGCCCAAATAGTACAAGATATACTTTTGCTCAAAATAATGTCAACATGGAAGGGCTCTATTACAAGTTTTCACAAACTACCTCAGCTTCCAATATTTATCAAAGTTGGATTGAGAGTTACAACATTCAAGGAAGACTTCTTAAAGAACAAGCAGTCTATCCACTCTTTTAGATAATCTATATTCCTGGACCAAATCAGAGCCACAGAGAAATGAGGACTTAGATTCCACCTCTCTCCCTACCCCCCCACTTAGTCACCACTTGTAGAAGAATTTTGCTTTTTCTGATTTGCTCTTTGGTTTGATGTTATCAGGTAATTTAAAAAATCTTTATTAGAAATGATCCTAAAATGGATATTGCTACTTCTACTGTAAGGGAATTCTGAGTTTTGTGATCATTATATAATCGTGTATTCTACTGACCTATTTATGATACATCAAAATTAGAAATTAGAAATGTAAGAAAATTAGAAAGTATAGATAGTTAGAAATTATAAATCTGCAATTTTCAAATCTGTTTTTCAAGTATAGGTGATTCCCTCCACCCCCAAATGGTCAAGTCCCTAACAGGTTTGAAACCACAGAGCAGTGGTTTTCAAGCCTCAGTGCTACAGGGTAATTTTGGGGAAGTTGTACATAATGACATATTTGTCTCCAAACAACAGAGGATATTCCCCAAAACAATGAAGAAAAAACTGCATGGGACCTGTTCATCACTGTTTCTGTTTTATATGCTGGAGTTCTGAGTAGTTAATTTGGAAAAAGAGTTTATGTAGTTTAGCTGTACTTGCTGATCCCTCAGACTTCAAGACTGCATCAACCAGACTCCCATGACTGGGTCTGGCCAATAGGAGGCATTAGCAGGATGTAGTTCTTAGCAGTGGCTGCATTCTCATAAAGCTGCAGATGCTGGAATAAAAGGTACTATCTGCCTCTCTCTGCCCATTAAGCCAAAAGATGGTAACAGTTACCTGCTATTGGCAGCTCCTACACACTTGACTGCCCCTGGTTAGTTCTCTTAACCCTGTTAAAAGGCCATTCATTAAATTCCCTTCAACTAATCTTTTGGGTATGCCATCTGATTCCCATTGGGACTCTGACTTTTTAAGGAAAAGATTTTAAAAAGAGCCTTTTTAGAAAATGACTGCTTTAGAGGAAAGTTTATCACCAGGTACCAAACTATAAAATTGAAAAAAAATTACCTGCATTTATCACAAAAACTGGACACTTAAACTACACCTTGAAATAATAGGCTAGACAAGTTGTAAACTGCCACTATGATAAATAACAGTCATTTAAATTAAAGATTGTAAAAGACATCTACCTAAATTTTATCTGGAAGTTCAATGAGATTCTAGGCAATCTGGAATTAAAAAACTTTCTTTTGAAAAGAAAAGAAATTCTTACTATATTATTATTATTACTATATTATTCAAACAAAAACATATACTTCATAAAGTGGACAGGTATACAGAAATATTTTGCAGATAGACAACTTACCTCTTTGAACTTGTGACTGAGCTTGGTTGTGTCCAGGTCTGAAGGGGAAAACATGTCCTCATTCTCAGGCAGCTCAAATACTTCAATGGCCATGTCACTGCCAGGAAGGACAGGCCCTACCTCATCCTCCTCTTCATCTGTGGCATATTCCCCTGTCTGAAAGGAAGGGGATTTCAGAAATCCAGCTGTCCTTACCCCAGATAGAGGTGGGTTATTTGAAAATATTTTATAAAAGATAAATAGAAATGTTAGTAAACAGTAAAAGAGTAAGTAGGTTTCTAAGTCAACCATGCCTCATGCAGCCAATGTTACAAACAAATGTTAGTGCAGAGATCCAAAGTGGCATGTCTACGCCATACATAAGTGCATCACTAAAAATCAATCAATAGTATTGGTAGCATCTTTAGTAGAGAAACAAGAGTTGCTTTTTTTTTTATTTGAATATTTGATGGTTTTACTAAATAAAATTATGTTGCTTAGGGAAATAAGTAATTCCTTTAAATTCCCACCTGCTGTGTGAATAAGCCACCCAATATTGGGAGCAGGGAAGAAGGAAGAAGAGATCAAAGATTCAGAGTTGGAAGCGATCTCAAGCCTTAAAAAGGCTGAGTAAATTAATTCTTCTAAACTTCAGATTCAATCAACTTTGTTTTGTTGGTTTGCTTTTTAACTATTGTGGTATTAACTAGTGACCTGAGGGATAAACCGAAGGTTTATACTGGAAGTCCACACATGTGTATTATTTTGCCTGCACATGAGTTTTGTAAATCTGTGTATTTTGCCAGTGTTTGAAAAAGTAATACTTCACTTAAATTCTAGATTTTCAGCTTCTCTTGAGAAGCTGAAGATCAGGCAATATAGGTACATTGCTACGTGATAACAATTGGCCAGAATCAGTAGGGGTTATCCCTTTCAGATGGGTCATACAGGACGTTCTCACACATCACAACTCCCCCAACTCAATATTGTTCAACATGGTTAGTTTCCCTCCTTTACCATACCTGTGGGCCCCTGTAGGTATTTGAGTTCATGGCCCCTGGAATAAATGTTTCTCCTCACACTAACTTCCTTAACATTAGTAGAAAGTAGCTCTCCTTCTGGCAGGATCAGGCTATGAGACTACAATTCAAATAATTGTTTCAAATCTATATATTATGATGTAATTTAAAGATAAATCATTGATTCACCATGTTGAAAAGACAAAGTTCATTAAATTTATCCTTGTTATTTTGGGCAGTACTATACCTATATATAAAACACAGAAAGGACCTCATATTGCCTTTAGAAGAACTTTCATAATGATCTATGAAAAAAAATTTTCACGCTTAGCATCTGATGGCTGTTCTTCTCTTTTGGTTCTGTACTACATTCTTTTTGCTAAAGTCAAAACCCTATTTCTTTCTTACTACGTTTTTACATAAAGGAAATCTAATCATCAACCTCAGTGTAATAATTCGTAATGCACTGAAGAACATTATTGCCATTTAAACTTCTCTCGTAAAATAATTCGAGTCGCCTCATAATTCTCATTGTCTTTCTCTGTAATTGTCAGTGTGATTGTCCTCTGACCTCTCAAAGTTCTCCACATTCTTCTTAAGTTGTGGAGCCAAAAGACAACACAATTTCTAGAAAGGAATCTGGGGGCCATGGACCATGATAAACAAACAGCCTCAGCATCCTTCTGACTCCACTTCCCCATGAGGAAGCTGTTCGTGTGAAGACCTTGACTGTGGTGGCCATTTTTATATAACAGTGAGCTCAGGATATTTCATAAACAGCTGTGCTTTGCCAAGCTGGTTATACATAAGAAACTTTTCTTCCAAATAAAATCAGAAATGCTTTTATTGAAATGGAAAGAGGTCGGGGGCCTCCACCTTGATACTGTATGACTACTCAGCATCGGAAACCCTAGGACTCTTCAGAGCCCCATCTGAAAATGTCTAAACTAAAACTACGTTCCAAGTATCTCTGAACTGGTAGGGGAAGGTAGCTGAAGATTGGGGAATGGTTGGCTCCAGACAGCTTTCATCTGTTGTTTCAGTGAGATTCTATAAAACTTAAAAGGACTTTAATTCCAGATTTAGTGCACTTTTTTGTGGTATTCTATAAATTAGTCATATATACATATAACAAATATGAGTATGTATATGTGTGTATATATCTTATATGTGTGTATATGTATGTGTGTCTACATGTGTGTGTTTATGTGTGTATGTATGTATATATATAATCAATAGGTATTTTGTAAATTCCAGTGATGTTAATTAACAGGAATGTGTCAAGGCTAGTAAGTGAACAATTTTAAGACATCTTGCTGACAGCTTTGATTTAGAGATATAAACGTGTGTGTTTGTTTTTAACCTGGTAATTACAACTAGCAGCAAAGCCATGCCTTCATAATGAAGGCTTTAACCAGCTATATAACATTCATTTTTATATCATCAGTTGGAGGAATTTCATGAATGACTCAATAAAATCGTAACCTAATTTAAAGTATGATTAAGTCATGACAATGTGGCACATATTAAACATAAGAGTTGAAATGAACAATTTCATTTGCATTTGCCAACTTGAAAATAGATTTTGTTCGCTGTATTGTGAGGGAATTAATATGTGCCTAGGATGGGGCCTGACATGTAACAGGATCTCAAAAAGTATTTTTAAAAGAATATATTAAAGAATGCCAATTTCATTTACTTGGTAATATCTAAAACCTCCTAAGGAGGTTTTCAATAATATCAAGAAATTAGCTGTAAAGTCATTTGTAAGAAGGCAATATTCTATCATATATTGTTAATCCTCCTTAAAGTGAGTAAGACGATTAGGGTATACACAACATACACAATTCCTCTTAGTATAGTTCTGGCTTTGTCATCCATTTTAATTGTCAAAATTATCCGCCTAAATGTAAGTTTCTGAGCCCTGGTCGCACAGTGGTTACGAGCTACAGCTGCTAACCAAAAGGCTGGAAGTTCAAATCCACCAGCTGCTTCTTGGAAACCCTATGGGGCAGTTCTACTCTGTCCTACAGGGTCGCTATGAGTCGGAATCGACTCAACTGCAACAGGTTTTTAAATGTAAGTTATTAAGAATTCTCCTTTGTGAGTCTCAATGAGACTTGGCCAGTCTCCTCTCCTTCCCAATAACTAAATTACCTACAATCCTGATAAAATTCTTTCTGTCTTTCATTTCATCTTTCCATTTACATGTTTTCTCTTTCCATTTAGTCTTATAAACATACTGAGGATAAGATATATCTTCTACTGTTTTGATTCTATTTATTACTTATTATAGTGTTCTGGATAGGGCACTTTATGTTGCCATTCCCAAGTTGAATAGGCTTCAGAATAAAAGATGCATTTATTACAGCATCTCATAAACATCTGGGAATGAGAAAGTTACATTCAGTGAATTAAGAATAATGGGTTCTTCTGATTCTTTTATCTTTATTGAAAATGAAAATTATTTTTATAGTTACTCTGCAAGTAAAATAAACGATATGATTGGATTAATCTGGCATCTACAGAGGAATACGAACAATGCTTAAAAAAAATACATATATATATACACTCACACACACATACACACACACACAGTCTTGGAAGAAGTACAGCCAGAATGCTAATTAGGAGCAAGAATGGCTCAGCTATGGGCTCAAGCATAGCAACGATTGTGAGGATGGCACAGGACCAGGCAGTGTTTCACTCTGCTGTACATACAGTCGCTATGAGTTGGAACTGACTCGACAGCACCTAACAACAACAACATACACACACACATACAGAGTAAAACTTGCAAAAGCTAGAACCTGTGTAAGGCGGAAACCTGTCAGAGAAGGAAAACTCATATATTTTCCACTAAAACAAGTGATAGAAAAGTGGTAAGACTGCACCCTGTCAAAGGCAGAAAACAACTTGTGAGGCTCGGAAGAACACGGGGTTTCACTCACTATATATATACATATATATATACACACACACACACATATATGAATCCATCACTCGTCTGTAGTTTGTTGTACTATGGTGGCTTGTGAGTTGCTATGAGGTGATGCTGGAAGCTATGCCACTGGTATTTGAAAATCCAGCAGGGTCACCCATGATGGACAGATTTCAGTGGAGCTTCCCGATTAAGACAGACTGGGAAGAAGGATCTGTCGATCTACTTCTGAAAAAATTGGATGGTGGAAACCTTTTGGATAGCAGCAGTACACTGTCTGATATAATGCTGGAAGACGAGTCCCTCAGATTTGAAGGTACTCAAAATACAAGTGGTGGCTGCAATGATGGGCTCAAACACAGCAACAATTGTGAGGATGGTGCAGGACCAGGCAGTGTTTTGTTCTGTTGTATACAGGGTCGCTATGAGTTGGAACTGACTCAATGGCACCTAACAACAACAACGTAACAACATACATATTGTGTGTGTGTGTCTATATATACAGCAAAGTATTTCCATTGGTAGTTAGCTCCTTCATTTTCTTCCTTGCCAAGTTCAACATCTTTCAAGTAACCAGAGACTCCTAAAGTTCTTTGTCCCAATCCACAAATCCATTTTAAATGAGGCAAGAACAGTTTCTAGGGTAAGAACTGACAGAGAGAGTAAATGTTCCTTTTCATCACCGTATCTTGCCCCAACATTGCCCATTCCTCAACAACTGTATGATGTAGGTATTAATGTGTCATTTTAATGTGAGGGAAATGAGACTCAGGCAGTTTACTCAAGGTCAGACAGTAAGTTTTTGAAGCTACATCTAACAGATTCCAAAGCCTGCTTAGAGTCTAGTGAAACTACAGCTTTGCAGAATATAATCTGGAATACATTCCGTTCATATTTCCCCAACCCAAAACACTGCTGCATAATCCTCTTGAGTTGAGATTCTCCTTCCACAACTCTGAACATTATCATCTGATTCACTTTGAGGATTTGTAGCCGTTTCAAGTGAGCTGCAAAGTTCTTGTCTTCTTCTCTCATAATAAGTGCACCCCTGGTTAAGTATATAGCAGAAATCACCACCAAAAGGATTGGTAGTTGGTAGGTTAATTGCAATGTAAAGAGAGGAGTCATTAAAAGAAAAAAAATAAATAAAGTGTCATTTTATTTAACTTAAATCATAAAAATAATTATTTATTTGCCTATCTTTTAGTTGCAAGGCT